CAGGTGAATATATTAAAAAGGAAAAATAAATTTGGATTTTTATTTCCACTCCTTATTTTTTACATTCCGCGAACTTAAAAACACACCCTCGTAATATGCATTTCATTTATGAGAAGTGTGACAGCATGCCAATGCAGCTGCGGTACTTTATCTGTAGAGATCCAAATGTGCACCACTCTGACCGCCGCGCGTTTATTAGAGTGCACAGCGTCTTCTCTAAATGAAGAATGCCTGGAAATGGTGTCGGTGGTTTCGGCGAAGGAAGACCCCAGCGATGAGGATGCTCAATGCTACTGAGGAAGATCCTTTCATTTCAACCAGGGCAACTTCAACTTCATTCATCATCATCATTACAGCCCTTCACAAGTCCACTGCTGAACATAGGCCTCCCCCAAAGAATGCCACAAAGCACGGTCCTGAGCCACCTGCATCCAAAAGCAACAAACTTCAACTTACCCTTGTGAAAAATTTGGAGCCAAAGAACTATGCCGTAAGATTAAATTTTTGTTGCCAAATGCTGAGCACGATTAAGGCAGATTCAGAGATGTTCGACAAAATATTATGGAGCGGCAAATCATCGGTCAAAAGAGATAGATACCTAAGTCTACACAATTTCCATAGCTGGCAACTAACAAATCCCCACCTACTGCGTGACGACAGATCCCAATATCAATTGAAAATTAATTATTGGAATGGAAAATTCAATGGCCAAATTATAGGCCCATTTGAATTGCTAAAAAATCTAGATGGACCAGTGTATTTGAATGTTTTACAAAGTTATTTACCTGATCATTTAGAAGAAGTGCAAGTAGGTGGTTGCAAAACAATGGATGCACAGCACATTAGGCTACGCCCGTAAGGTGGTATCAGAACGAGCTGTATCCTAACAGATTGGTCAGCCGTTTGGGACCTATTTTGTGACCACCACGATCGCCCGACCTGAACCCACTAGATTAGAAAGTCTTCATAAAACCAATCGCAACAATACAAGAACTGCGTGAACGTGTTTTGGACACGTTTCGAGAAATTGAAGAGCGCAGGTATTCGCGGTCGTATATAAGAAGATGTAGAGACTGTATTAAAGTAGGGAGCATACAATTTGAACATTTATCATAATTAAAATAACCGAAATGGAATTTTGATTTTTATTATCCCCTAACCATCCCATAGAAACACTTCCACAGATTTCCGAAGCAAATGTCTTATTTTTGAAATTTGTTATTATAAGAAAATAAGACTAGAGAAACATAGGTAGTAATAACTCAGTAATGTGACAACAAAAAAATTGAGTTTACCGTTTTAGAATTTGCATGAAGTAGGTTTGTTTCTATTATTATAACATAGTATACTATTATTTATCATATTATATTCTATTGGCCACCCTAGTCACCATACGTTTTCTTATACCACAGGTGCTCAAACTTTGTCATTGTAAAATCGAAAATTCAATTTTTTTAAATATTTAAAACAAAAACAGTTACTTAAACGTCTTTGTACGTTTAAGTAGTGGTAATAGACCGGACATCAGCAATAAAATGGTCATCTTTTACTTTTGTCCCATAGGATATATATCGAATTTATGTAATTTAATCTTAGTGACATCTTCAAAAGGTCAAGGCGCATTGGTTTCCCACATTTAAAAATATTTTTAAAGAAAATATGCCCGATTGTGCATTAAGGTATTGTAAGTCCCGATATGGAGCAAAAACTGAATGTGATTTCGGTTTATTATCGCAAGTATAATTAATGTATATTCACCCAATAATTCTTAAATTTTATTATTTCTGGTAGATTGTTCGAGAACGTTTATCATTATTGTAATAAGCGCCCTCTGTTATCCAGTAACGTCACTATTTATTTACCAAATGAGTTAGTGATTGACAATGTTCATCGATTGGTGTTATCGATAAAAAATACTACACAGGATTTAATCATCTCCAATATTTAAGGAGGTGAAACAGTAAACGATGCTGTATCTATACCAATAAAGAAATCGGGTTAGCTTGTGTCGGGGCACACGTTGGTTTTAAGGTGAAACGTCTATGGCAGCTTGTACAATCAGTCAACGAGATAGCGTTCATTTTAAATATTTTAAAACGATTCTACAACACTAGGAGAATTGCAGATGCGTTGCCGGATTTCCGGAATTCCTCAGAGCACTCCCCGTGGTAAATACGATAGAAAATACAAAGGGATGCAACATTTCTACGCAGCGCCAGTGAATCGAGCCAATCAAAGAGAACTGTGGTCGACATTTCGAACCGCTCTACGCTCTATGCGTTCAAGTAGAAGGAACTTGCACTGGGGAGCCCCAGCCCAGAGATGAGAACAGTATTCTATGTGAAGCCGGATCTGCGCCTTGTAAGGTTGCAAACGGTGTGCCGGTATGAAATACTGTCCCGCTCTACTTAGTACGTCAAGCTTTTTAGAAACTAATTTAGCTTCCTCTTTCAAGTGACCACGATACTGCAGGTCATTCGGTATGTCGACGCCGAAGATTCCGGTACTGGTTGCGACAACAAGGGAAGTGCCCTGAAATTGAGAAGATACGACAAAGGGGTTCTTTTTAGCAGTAAACGCGCAAACTTGTGAATGATTTGCAGTGTCGAAGCTAAAGCTAGGCGACGGCGAAGCTGGGCTTTGAAAAAAGTCGTTTGGGTTTGTTTGAGCGATAAAAAAAAGATATTTACATACGATACAATACATGAACAAAAGAAAAGCATGAACAAAGTACAAACAAACTATGTACAAAATTAAATAAAAAAATTATTTATATTCTAAATCGAATCGTCTCTCTTTCTTAAGGAAACATTTGATTACATCCGCGTAAAATGTTGGTGAACGTTTTAATTATACAAAAAAGCTGTTTATATGGATATGGGCTGTTTTTTCTCAATAAATTTTAAAGATTTTAGCTTTTTGTCGCCGATTAGGACTTTAACACACTTCAATTTATCACAAGAAACACTATTATCCTCCATTTTTACTAAAAATATTAAAAAAAAAAACAAAAATGTTCAACTAATAAGTAAAAATAAAGTAAACGTACAGAGTAAACATTGAAATGTGAAGTGAAGTTGCAAACGTATCGCCCGGGTGCCCCCGCGCTCGACTAACTTCACACCAAAAGCTCGGCTTATGACTCCATAGTAATTGCTATATAAACTGTCATAGTAATATTTCATTATAGAACATTTTGCCATTTCTCGAAAGCCCGGTAAAAAGCTGACGCATGCGAGTGAGACGAATAATCGCTCAACTCAACTCCTTTTTTATGACAGCAGCATAAGCGAAGTAAAGCAATCTGCCAAGTGTTGACGTTACATAATAAGGCTACGAGATGGCGGGCGATGGAGGCATGACCTGTGTAGAACAGAGGAGCGCGCGGGAAATTTGAAATGATTTGAAACAGTTTAGGAGTTATTTTATTACTTGATATTATTAATTGAGCAGTTTGATAGGGCAAGCAGGCTTCTAGGCTTCTATGTAGGCTTCTACGATTTGTATAATGATTTATCGTGTAACGACTTTTAAGTTCAATGCTTTCCTAAAATAAAGTGGTATTTTTGTAAAAGGAATGAATTTCAAAAACATAGAGACGCTCTCTTATTGAATTTGATGTTTCTCGATGAGCCTTCGATGCCGACCGACCAATCATATACGATTATTAATACCGAATAACGTCATCCAAGATACCACCAATGTGACTGATGCTTGAATTGATTCTTATTTACTGGAAACTAGTTATCCATCGCGACTTCGCCCGCGTTGAATTTACCACGATTTCATAGGTTTTAATTTTTTTGCGGTAGCCCCAATTTTTTTTTCTAAAATAAAAGTATCCTAAATTACTCTTTAGAACAACAGCTATCTGTCAGTGAAAGTCCCGCCAAAATCGGTCTAGCCCATTCGGAGATTAGCCGGAACAAACAGACAGACAGACAGACAGAAAGACAGACAAAAACTTTAAAAGTTGTGTTTTTGTTATAAGTACCGTATATACTTTCATATGCATTTAGTAAAAAGCTGTTATTTTAACATAACAAGCAGACACTTCAATTTTATTTATTTGTTTAGATTAAAAATATTTTATTTTTTGACACTAAAATGACGTAGAAAATTTATATGATATTTTTGGTGTGGCGGGAGTGAAAATAAATAAAACAATAAAACAATGCTTATTCCCTACACATTATCGATACTTTGATGTTGAAACGGTAATATTAGTGTCACCTACTGGATAATAGCTGAAATGTTTTCCTAATAAATATTCAGCGTAATTTTGCTATGTTTAGCTAGAGGGCACACCACACACGCGCGAGCTCAGTTTTAGTATGCAAATGTTCCTAATGCCTGCTCTATAGTATATATATATATATATATATATATATATATATATATATATATATATATAATTAGCAGTTACAGCTAGAAATATGTTTTAATACGCGATGGCAAGACAAAACATTCACGTTTATTTCCAGGGTAAATCAATTGGTTATTAATAAATTTGTATTTGTTTACTGTAATACTCAATATTAAGTAGCACTCAATAATGTGAGCGGAGGTATCAAATTACATACTTTTAAAAAAGTATTTTTTTTCCAAACAGCTGCAGATATATTATTTTTGGAGTGGCCGAGGTGCCCCTCAGTAGTATTTATCGGGATTATCCATTACTTACCGCACAACCTGTATATTATATTGTGTTACTAAAGATAGGTAAAAAGAAATAAAGTAACATCATAAATACTACTGTGTCTCAGCTGCTACATGATATACGCCTCGTCTGATTTCTGAGAGGGTTTTGTGGATTTGTCGACAGTTGTTCCAGCGTGAGATGGCGGACACACATACCGTCGAAATATTTTATTTATCAAACATACTTTTTTCTTTGCAATGTTTTACTTCAACACCGAGCACGTGGTGATTCGGCGCTTAAAACGCAATTAAGAATTTCAGTGGTACCGGCAGTTGGATAAGAGAGTATAAAAAATAACCTCTTCGACAACTTGTCTTCTAGCTTCAGCTAATTGGTCCCTTTCTTGCCGGACTTGTGCCAGTTCCGCTTCCATTGTCGCTATTTTAGCTATGGCGTCCCTTTCCAAAGCTGCTAGTCGCTCGTGAGCCTGTGAATAAATACAAATAATTTAGTTTGAATCTTTATTTAATTCCATTCTAGGTTGTACAAAGTACATATAGGTATCATGAAATAACTACTAATACAAAAGTGATGCATTAAGTAAGTTTTACTATACATATGGGAGCACAAAGGGTTATTATTGTATCTTAACGGTTGCTTGCGGTATGAAGTCTAACTGCAAGATTGTTGAAAGTATACAGTAAGTTTAAATATTTAGGTTAGAAATTAAACCCAGCTACGAATTTATGGGTGAGAAAGTAGTAAGTCAATTTGGGAGATTATTGGAGGCATGAAGTAAGTCTAAATGTAAGACTGTTGGAGGCATAAAGTAAGTCAAAGTTTAGGATTGTTGGGAGCATGGAATATGTCTCTGAACCTGTGAAAGATGTAGGAGACTGTAGGAGTTTTTTTCATGGTAAGGAGTAAATCTAACGATATGATTGTAGGGGCAGAAATTAATTTTGATGGAATAAGTTGGCGGCGCTGTCGCCACAAGCGAAACATATTGAAGCCTAAATCACGCTATCAAAATTCCGAAGTAATGTGCTATATATAGAAAAGCTCTACACTAACATATGCAGCGTTGGCCGCTCCCCCGAATACCTCGCCTGGTGGGAGATCTCCCCTTTTCCCTTTCACGACCAAACGTGGCGTCGCTACACCACCACAAGTTGAAATGTTGGAGTTTGTTCATGGCAAGAAGTAAGTGTTAATGAGCATGAAGTAAGCCTTATTGAGGATTGTTGGGGCATGAAGTAAGTCTAACTGTAGGTTCGATAGAGACATGAATTGGATCATTGGAATGTGTGGAGTAGAAACTATACAAAATCATACTTACGTGACCCAACTCTTCTTCCAGTTCGTTGACTTTCTCCAGGGCAGCAGTTTTGGTTTCGCTGTCTTCCATCAGCGCCGCCACGTCGAAAACGTTGTCCAAGTACGCGGATATTTGTACCTGCGAATTGGAAATGAACATTATACATAAATAAATTACAGTAAAATGCGGAAATTGTATCTGCTTAGCATCAGTATAGTCCTCGTTTAGTACATAATTTTAGTTAGATCTAAAAGCCAACCAAGAAATATGCTAGAAAGTAAACTTTATTTCCTGGGAATTTCCATAGTTGACGAATCGATCGAACGATCAGCACACGAATAAAAGAGACAACAATAAAACATAATTTAATTTATTTTACGTAAAAATTTAACTGCGTATTTGTAATTCTAATACAGTAACAGATATATTATTTCAATCTAAGGCGAATAAGTGAAATATTTAAAAATTTAAGTCAATGCAACTTTTATGTTCTGAAAACTAGGATTTATCTGGACTAACGATATAATATGTGATGTTTCTAATCTCTTAAATAAATGTTTCTTCTTTAATTATTCATTCCCATCATGACATTGGTGGTTTATTACTCTATTGGTGGTTTATTATCTATGACTATTGTTGGGCGAAATAAAGGATTTATTATTATTATTATTATTACTGCCTACATACGTCTCATTCCTTGGCACATACCTCTTATATCTTCTAATTAATGTAATTAGTGTAGAAGTGCAATAATTTAATATATCTATTAATTGTTTCCAGTACAAATATATATCTGTCTTGAGCAATGTGGCATTTTACTACAGACATAAAACCTACAAAATTGTATACGTTCTGTAATAATTTATGTTTAGATAACAAAGTTAAATTGTTAAAAAAAGAAAATAAAATAAACCTGCAAGTCCTCGCTCTCGGAAAACCGCAGCCTCTCCAAGTAGTCATCCAACTTAAGCGCCGTGAACTCGTACTGAAGGTGGACCCGGAAATTCATGTCTTCAACGGAATGTACAATGATATTGACGAATTGCATGCACGCCACCTGGAAAGCGATGAAAAATATGTCCTTGACAGATGCGATGCATCATAGCACAACACGGAAAATCGTACGAAAACCTACATAGCCTTGGCCGAATTATTTGTGCCAATATATGCGCCAACATGGAGGCATTCATTAATCTCAACTCCGAAATTGATCTATATAACGTCCAGCGATAAAATCGGAGGTGAACTAGGATGTAGTTTCAGAGACCTGAAGATAATCACAACAAAATCGTACCCGAAATCTATCAATTAATATTTTCTACCGACTTCAAAAAGGGGCTGGTACCTACTCAATTCAACTGTATGTTTTTTTATGTATGTTACCTCATAACTTCTTACTGGGTGAACCGATTTCGATAATTCTTTTTTTTTTAAAGCTGGTGCTTGATCAAGGTTTGACCAATAGTTTTGATTTATTCTTAATAATTTATATTGAAGTCGGTTGTACAAAATTTTTAATTTTTAATTATTACGTGATGGTATTACTCCTTGGTAGAGCCATGTTATAGTGGTAGAACGATTTTGTCGACTCGACGTGGTATAGACATGCTGCAACTATATTAGTAGTATAGTTGTAGCACGAATGGGTCGGCTCGGCCGGGGAAGGACCACGCTCTCACAGGATACCAGCGTTAAATACTAGCTTAATGCTGCTGTTTTGTATAGTGAGTATAGAGAACCGGAGAACATTTTTACTGGAATACGAAGCATTCCATCTTAGTCTCCAGGGGCGACAACGCATTCTGCATTTTGATTCTTAATCGAGGATCGATGTAGGACTGTAGTAACCAGTTGTCATTCAGTAATAAATCTCAGTATTAATCTTACTCGTATAGAAAATAGTCTTTTATTATTCTCTATGCTCACCGCCCTAAACAATCTTTTTAAATAAACACCATAACGAAAGACAACTCACCATGAACTCAATATGGAATGTGTCGTAATTCATGAAATACTCCATGAGCGTGTGAAACCTCCTCGGCTCACCGACGACCTCCTTGAAGTTGTCGAAGGCACTGAGTATGATCTGGTGGCCGCCTTTCACCAAGCAGATGGCGGCCAGCAGCTCCAGCACCAGCGCTTTAGTGCGCAGAGATTGGTGCACGAGAGACAACGCGATGCTGTTGATTGCTTCGCGATGTTGGATAACCATGTTGAAGCCGTACTGTAAATTATGAAAACTATTTTTTTAAATGTATGTGAAGTCTTTGGTAAACGTCAGAAAGATGATGTCCAAAAATAGCGATAGAACCGTTTCCAACCGTTTGCAATATGTAATTTAATACATATCAACTTTAATAATAGTCTATTCTCGAAGAACACTAAAGTGACTTTGAAGTATTTTTCACGAAACTTACTGAAGATTTAGTTATAAAATAAATTATAATAAATAATCAAAAGTATGATAAGGGTTTTTTTTTTTATAGGATAGGGTGACAAACGAGCACACAGTCCACCTGATGGTAAGTGGTTGCTGTGGCCCATAGACATCTACATGTATCTTCTTTTGCGAATCAAAATGCAGATGCGTTGTCACCCGTGAGGACTAGGATGGAAAGCCTCTTTTCCAGTAAAAAGGGTTTAAAGGTAAGGTTCCAGTTAAAAGGTAAACTTGTATATTTAAAGACAGCTTTACAAGAGCTGTTGTAGTTCTTTGGGTTTAAAAACCAGCACTTGCTTTATTTCTTAGCACTAGCAATTTTACAATGAGCCATAAAAATACCATAGAGCCAAGAAGACCTAATCATGTGAAAGAATATGTACTAGCCCTATGTGTCGTAAGAGGCGATAGAGGGAAATGAAACAGGGTATGAGCAGCAGTATCTCTTGATAACAACTCAAAATAATAAAAAAAAAAAACAACGGTTGCCAATCCCATTGCCAAGCGAGACAACTACGTCAAATATATTTCTATGATCCTTATATCTACGGGTAGGCCTATGCAAAGCAGTGGACTTTCGATAGGCTGTAATGATCATGGTAATAGAATAGAATAGAATAATTTTTTATTCAATATACATTACATGTGTAATTCTTATTGAAAGTCATTTTTTACTTTACCACTGGTTCGAAAAAAAAATCCCTCTGTCCTGGAAAGAACCAGCAAGATACACAGTGGGACTTTTTTTTAAAATAAATTTTACAATATAAATAATTACGAACTATTTACAAAATTTATTTTAGAAACTGCTTGGAAGCGACCACCTCATTTCCAGGGGTTATTATCAACCATGTATTCATTTATACTATATTAACCCTTTATATATAGTTTCAGCTTAACAAAACATTTAAACTTGGTAATAGAGAGAGCCTGTATACTTTCCGGGACCTTGCCCCAAGAATGAATTACTGACTCTGTGTAGTCGAGAAACTGGCATCACTAGCTTGTGTTTGATCCTAGTGTTTACAGAATGTATATCACTTTTTTTTTTACTAAAACTACCTTTGCTTTTGTGAACATACATTAAATTTTCGTAAATATACGGAGAGGCCAAAGTTAATATATTTATTTCTTTAAATTTATCTCTAAGAGACTCTCGGTTTTAGATTGTAATGGCCCTCTTCTGTAAAACAAAAACAGTTTCTGAATCAGCCGCATTTCCCCATACCAATATTCCATAAGACATTGTGCTATAGAAATAACTGAAATAAACTAATCTAGCTGTCTCGACACTAGTGAGACCTCTAATCTTTTTTACAGCATAGGCTGCAGAACTTAGTCTGCTTGCTAATTCTGATATATGGGGGCCCCACTGAAGCTTTGCGTCGAGAGTGATGCCAAGAAAAACAGTGGATACAACAGGGTTCAGTTCCTCCCCATTTAAAAACACATTGGTATTCAGATTTTTAACATTCGTTGTTGTAAATTTAACACAATTAGTTTTATTTCCGTTCAAATGCAGATTATTAACGTTAAACCAATGCACTAATTTTGATATAGCATTATTCACTTCGTCACATTTAAATGATTGACGTTTAAGTTTAAAAATCAAGGAAGTATCATCAGCAAATAATACTATATCATGACTATCCCCTACAAGGTGAGGTAAGTCATTAATATACACCAGAAACAGGAATGGGCCGAGAATCGAGCCCTGAGGAACACCCATTAGTACAGGTGACCCGGAAGAACTTTTACCATTGATAATAACCTTCTGTTTTCTATTACTTAAATATGAAATAATAAGTTTAAGCGCTGTGTTCTTGACACCATAGTACTGTAACTTCCTGATTAATGTCTCATGGTGAACACAGTCGAAGGCCTTGGAAAGGTCACAAAATATATCCAAAGCATCCTCTGAATTCTCCAAAAATATGTTTAATAAGCTTAAATCCAGCGTCAGTTGTCGAGCGACCCCTTGTAAAACCGAATTCATTTTTATGTAGCAATTTATTAATAGTAAGAAACTTAACATCTGATCTAAAATAATTTTATCAAAAATTTTACTAAATGTTGGTAGTACAAAAATTGGTCTAAAATTGGCGGGGTCTAATGTACTACCAGATTTAAATATAGGTATGACTTTAATATATTTCATTAAATTAGGAAACACATCAGATTCGACGGTAAAAGAAGTTTACCAAGACGTATTAGATCAGAGCGGACTTTTTCCTGCTCCAAGGTCCTTTTTTGGATGAGTGGATTCCTGTGCTCGGGGGTAAATGTATTAGTTTCTCATTAACAGTTATTTACGTTTTTTCATTTACAGTTTGTTAATTTTTTTCGTTTTTCGTTCACAATTATTTTAGTTTTTCATTTACAGTTCTTTTAGTTTTCCATTTAGTTATTTTAGTTTCTCATTTATAGTTATTTTAGTTTTTCATTTAAAATTTTAGTTGTATCATTAAAATGTTGGTGGCGGTGACATCGAGTGCAAGGCACCTTGTTGTTCATGATGGCGCGCATGCACATGATGCAGACGTGGATGTCGTCGGTGGAGGCGCCCATGTTGAGGCGGGCGGCGTGGCGCGAGCGGCGGCGCGCGGCCGGCCCGGCGCCCGGCTCGGGCTCGCCGTCGGCCGAGCGCGCGCGCCGCCGCCACGCCGCGCCCAGCGTGCTGCCGCCCTCCAGCGCCGCGCTGCACTCCGACGTCGTTGTGTTCGCTGCCCGCACGCACACAATACAATACAATATAATACAATACAATCATTTTCATTCAATATACGTTACAAAAACACTTCTTGAAAGTATTTATTTTAAAGAATAAGAGTGAAAAACGGGCATAGATCCACCTGATGGTAAGTCGAAGCTGAGGCCCATAGTCATCTAGATATATTTCTCCTCGATTAAGAATCAAATGCAGATGCGTTGTCACCCCTCAGAACTAAGATGGAATGTATCGTTTCCAGCAAAAAGGGTTTCCAATTCTAAACACTCACTATACGAAACAGCAGAATTAAGCTGCTATTTTCCGCTTGTATTCTGTGAGAGCGAGATCCTGCTCCGTTGGAGACAACCCATCCGTGCTACAGCCATAACATACTGATTCGGATAAAACCTCTGCCCTGGGAAGAACCAACAAGAAACCCAGCGGGATATTTAAAAAATAATAATATAATATTAATCAAATAAAAAATTCTTAGTAATTATTATTTTAATATATTATTAAAATTTCTTCGTATTTTGTTTGCATAAAATTGAATAAAAATCTCTTTGGCTATAACTATTTCTATCTGACTGCTTTTAATATTAATACATATATGACATTAAAAAAATAAAAATAAAAGGTAAAAAACACTTTAGCGCCATTTTTAAATTATTGTTTTTCTGTCCGCTAAAATGAGTGAATCTAACAAAGAAATTTGATATGTACATTCTGAAATTTTATTACAAAAACGGGAATAATGCGACTCAAACTGCGCAAAATAATTCTGACGTTTGTGGAATGTAGTGTCAGTAAGAGTAGCACAAAGTTAGTTCAAACATTTTCAGTAATTTTGATGTCAAAGATGCAGCTCGCTCTGGTCGCCCTCATACGGATAAAGTCGATGCCATTTTTGAAAAAGAGGAGCAAGATCGGCATATTATTAGTTACAACATAGCCGAGAAATTGAGGATTGACTACAAAACAGTTTTGACCCATTTGCAAAAGTCTGACTATACAAAAAAGCTCGATATTTGGGTACCACACGAGCTCACTGAAAGAAACCTAATAAATCGTGTACTCATTTGCAATTCTCTATTGAAACTACTAACTACGAAAAGAACGTGCGAAAAAGATCATGGTCAAAGGGTAGTCAAGCTCCAAAGACTGTAGCGAAACCCGGATTAACACGCAATAAGGTGATGCTGTGTGTATGGTGGGATTGGAAGGGCATCGTTTATTGTGAGCTTTTACCGCCGGACAAAACCATCGATTCGGATCTCTACTGCCAACAACTAACGAGAATGCGAAAACGATCATGGTCAACATTCATGAATACAGTGGCATGTTGTGGAAACTTTTTTTTCTTTATAAAATTGAAGCCAAAAACGAACTTACCATCAACCGGAAGTTAAGTGGCTACTGCAGCCCATTTACACCTGCAACCAACTTCAAACGAAGAAGGCTAGAAATACGTTGCCACCTCTAAGGACTAAGGCGGAATGCCTCACAGCATGTTCAAATCAATATATACCAGTGCAGGTACTGCTGCTTGCCGGCAGAAATAGGTAAGTGTCAGGTACCCCTCCCCCCCAAACCTGATTTCTAGACAAAAAAGGAGACCTAGCTCCTAAAAGACGTGAGTTAATATTAATGATCAAAACAAAAATATCCTTTAAAACTTCAACAGATAGATATTCTTGTATCAGATATTTATCTATCCAACTAACTCAAATATTTCTACCGCTCTGTAGTGCAGTTTGATGCAAGTTCGAATCCCAATTGTATAGCCTACTAATATTTTTTACTACTACTAATATTCATGTGAAATTTACATTTACATAAATAAATACATGTGTGAAACGCTTCCACAAAAAAAAATCCTATTGTAGAGGTGCCGAAAAGTACCGAAAGCGATAAAGGAATCCGTCGCAGTTAAATGATGATAAGTTACTCGCAAAAATTAAAGTTACCATTAACTTAGATTCTAGTGATATATTAGAGATATGTAGCAGATATAGTCTGTACCTTGATTAATGCCGTCGCTCGACTGGCTTCGAGCCAGCGCGATGCGCTGCTCGTGTCGCATCATGCTGAGCCTGAAGCTTAAGTAGTCTATTAGAACGTCCAGACCCTGGTTCTGTTCGTTCAGAAACTCTCGCACCCATCTGAGAAGTGTTATATATTATTGTATCCAGTAAGTAGTTATTTCGCGTTTTATTAATTACTAGCTGTGCCCGCGGCGTAGCTCGCGAATATAGGTTTTACTTAAAGAATTTGACGTTTAGGGTAAGAGAATATTCAACGATTTATATCATTACTGTATGAATAAGTGGTAACAAAATAAATCGATATGCACAAAGTTCTAAGTCGTTTATGATAGTGCTTCTGTGTAAACGACGATAGAAGTAGACTTAGCCGGGGCGTACAGAAAAAGGTTACGGGGACTACTAACGCGGGAAAAAGCAACATAGAGTTGGCCATGTGCAAAACAATCAGTAGTACTGAGATCCACTCCTGCAACGCGTAAAGTTTGACCTTGCGCTTTATTTACGATCGTCGCATAACACACGCTGAGTGGGAAACACACTTAAAATAGGGATGTTAGATGATCATCGATGCTAAAAATTAAAACTTCGATGTTTTAACATCGATGTTGACATATGTCAAACATCGAAACATCGACGTCAATGTACCCATAATCGATAATTGGGAACTTGCAAACAATGCGAACTCGCGAAATCAATATCAACTAAATCTTGCATCTGCTTTGAAGAATAAAAATTTTGAATAATTCAGAATTTCTGAACGCATCGTTAACCTAAAAAATGTAAGTATGGTGAGTCAAATTTAATTGTCAAGTGTCTCCTGTAATGTCACAATGGTCACTGCTTTCGCTTTATTTTGTAGTGTCGTTATCGGTTGTCGCATAATAACTATTCAACGTAAATTGATATTCAAGTTAATTGTTACTTTTCCCTTGCTGTGTATACCCACATAATTTTGAAACAATGTGTAAGTATCACACATATACAAAAACCATCGATAATGGTCAACATCGATGTTTTGAGTAGCCTAAACATCGAACATCGATGTTGAGATGTCGATGTCATCATCGATGTTATTATCCCTATCTTAAAACTGAAGCCTGAGCCGTGGTAGCTCAGATGGTTAGCGCTCGCTGTAAGCTTCACAGTACTCAAGCAACCCGGGTTCGATCCCCGCCGGCACCAATGAAATTGTTAATTGCAATTTTAAGTGCTGATTTACCACGTGCTCGGCGGTGAAGGAAAACATCGTGAGGAAACCTGCATGTTCGCCAACACGTATTGGGGCAGCGCGGTGGACATTTCCTTGCCCTAAAACCCTCTCAGAAATGAGAGGAGGCCTGTGCCCAGCAGTGGGCCGTAAATAGGCTGCAACTTTACTTTACTTTACTTAAAACTGAAAGGAAAGTTATTTGGTATTAGAGGGATTCTGGGTATAAAACAATATCACTATCACGACATTTATTGCAATTTTGCTACTTTTAGTCGAGTTTTGTAATTTTGTTGAATAATTGAATATTTCAATTTTCAATATCTCTTTTTTCTGGTTTTTGTTTCTGGTGTTTTTTGTTATGAGTTGTTAGTCTACACGACTCTTACAGGCAGGCATAGATTACTCAATTACTGTATATATACCTTACAGGCTTGCAACTTCGTCGGACTCATGGACATAAATTATTTCAGTGAGTCTCAATACGATTCACCTGCGAAAAATCTTAACACCGCAATTCAGAAAAGGTTGTAATTTGTACAACGCCATCTATTACGTTCTTTGTGAGAAAACATCCTTTTTTAATTTAAGGAAAACATGTTTTTTACTGTGTTTTAAGTACTATAATAGAACCATACGAAATATATTATAATAGAACGTTTTTTTTAACACACGAATCTTTTTATTACTATTTCTGAGATTTTGTGGCGCCATTAAACAAATTCGAACCTACATTTCAAAATAATAATCATAACTTTCGATAGAATTAACCAATTTCAATAAAACAAAAATTAAATGAACTTGATATCACATTTGTGCCACACCACCATCTATCGATGAAATTGGTTAACTATTGTACTTTAATTTAGTTTAGATAATTAGGTTAATATATTTTGTATATATTTATTACGTTCTTTATGTAATACTTTTGTTTACTGCCTTTTAGATATAATTATATCATTATAGAACATTATTTTACATCATTTTATTATGATTTATAATATGATATTAATTTTAAAATGTACTTGATGACTCATCCAACGCCACTATTGAACAAATTCGTACCTATACTTAGTACCCATACTTCAGAATATTTGTCATAACTTTTGATGGAATTAACCAATTTTAATGAAATAAAGACTAAATGTAACCTGAATATACACTTAATAATTTCCTTAACTATTCTTATGATATAAATTAGTACTTTATACGTGATACGTTAACAAACAAACAGACAGACAGACAGACAGACAGACAGACAGAAAAATCTAAAAATGGTAGAAATGTATTTGATTACTTATTTTTAGTACCTCTCAATCAATTTTATTACAAAAATATAAAATGTACAGAAATCTGCTATTTACATTTTTATTATATGTATAGATAAAACAAAATATTTTAAAAAAAGGTTGAAGATTCAAAATTACATACGTAAGTAAGGCTTTATTATGTAAATATAGAAAAAAGGGAAGGAATGATCATATTTTCTATGATTATAAAGACCCCGTTTTGAGTTATTTATATTTTTCTAATGATAAATATTATTTATATTTTAGTTACGTAAATGCCTACAAATACTTACTCTATGTGATTGGTCCGTAAAGATATTTCCAAGTCCCTGAGAACCTGAGTGGATGTGGAGTCGCCGACCATTTTTCTTTTCTGTAATAAATTGAAACACCTTCATTATACTTCATTATATATAGGTTGCAAATTAAACATAATCCGTATAAAGACTTGTGCTTCTCTTATCATACTTAATAAGTATAGCCTCTCCGTTGCCTTCTTATTTAAAGTCAACAAGTAATTTTAGTTGTCTCAATATTAATATATTAATTTCGATTTCGAATGTCCCGGCCGTATTTTTTGGAATTTGGGAAACAAATATTGATAAATTAGCATCTAAATTAAATTTTATTTTACAGAATGTATAAATAAAACTTAATTTGATAAGTTGATGATAGGACCCATAGACATCTACATCTTTCCTCGATTAAGAATCAAAATGCAGAATCCGTTGTCCCTTAGGATTAAAATGGAATGTCCCGATTTCAACCTTCCCCGGTCAAGCTAATCCATTCGTGCTGCAATCATAATAAAGCAGCAGAGTGGCTCAACCACGTATAAGGTCTGCAATTTTCTCCATTAGGAGAAAGGACGAAGCAACCGATAAAACCGTCGGTTTGGGAACAACATTCATTTTGCAAAAGCAAGCAATATGGGTAATCCATAACTTGGAACCTCGCTATACGCTACGCGACCTTTTAACCGATTCGTTGCGGCGCCAATTTTCACGAACAAATATTTCGCGACACGCCTGTCGTATCAAGCGCCAATGAAATAAATCTTAAAATTCAGCTAATTGAATTGTAAATTAAATACGCTTATTACAATGTTAAAAGAAACGCAGGAGAAAAATATTTTTTAATATTTATTTAAGCTTATTCTACGTAAAGGGAAAACGTATTACCACCATATTTTGAATGCATCTTAACTACCCTTTTTTAGGACGTTCCATTTTAAACACTGCTACTTGACTTAATTGAACTCTGTTTCTTAGTTTTAAACAATATTTTATGTTTTATTTATGTAATCAGTAAGTATTTTTTTTATTACTCTTTGTATAGTACAGATTAAGTAAAAATAGCATAATAATTAAATAAATTAATTATGCAGTATGTCATTGAGTGCGTACGAGTGAAACGGATTTTCTTAACATTTGACGGTTCTACGATTGGCATCGGCGCAGTCCATTGTTATTGCCAAAGAGAATATAATCAGTTGTTGCGTTTGCGTCTCGTTGTGTATTGTGCAATTTTGTGTGTTTTTCATGGATCATAAAGAATAGAAATATGTAGGGCTACACAAGATTTTTCTCAGTATAATCTGAGAGGAAGTGGTGATAGAACATTAATAAGAGATAAATAAATTAAGTATTTGGTAACGGCAAATCCTAACATAAAGAGCTACATTAATAGTTTTGGGCTTCGTAGCGTTTAAATCGTAAAGATGACTACATGACATTATTTTCTAAAGTTACAGGAAGTTTTTCTACTATACCTTATAACTATACATAAACTTTTACTATCAGGTTTTTAAATGTACGAAAAGTGGGCATGGTTATTTATTTACAATTTGAGTTTGTGAGCGATCGCAATGAGTGCTATTATTTGTTACTTATTAGACTATTTTTCCACAACATGATTTAAAACCCACAAAGTAAAAATAGTACCATGTACACTTTAAAAAATGTTGTCAACCCCTAAAAATTTCAAATTTTCAAAATATCCAGAAACGAAGCTGCATGCATGAACTACTCGCAAAATAATAAATATTTTGTTCTGGATAAATTTTCCAAAAAAGCAATTTGAGCGAGTTATAACGATTTTTAAAAAGACACGAATCGCGTGTCATACGCCACACACAAAAGTAATCGAAGGCACGTCTAGCGTGCCACCCGCACTGAACCGGTTAAAGGAACTAATATGTTGACGCTTCCGTTGTTGTTTATTTTGTAAACTCTATGTACGTACGGATAAATATAAAAAATGTTTATATATAAAATTCCGTCGGCGTGTGTTCGTACTTCTTTTGCTCCTAATGGGCTTGACCGATTTTGATGATAAGTTTTATGGGGTCTTATGGGCTCACCTTGATGGTTCTTAGCTACATTTCGATCGGGTAGTAGACTGTCGATATCCAGTAATCTCCCGTGCAAAGCCGGAACGGATCGTTAGTTTTTTTAATAAAAAGTAGACTGTCTGCTAATGGGTCGAGTACATATGTTAGAGGTTCCTAAATGTAGGTTGCTAAATACCTATTGAGGAAACTGATGTGTGGAAATAATTTTAAATCTGCTCTTGCAAGTCCCCTGGCTGCTGATACTTGTATATTGTTAAGATTGACACAAAAAATTAGTAATAATATAATATTGTATCGATTTTTTTATAATCCATACAAATAAGTGACTGTATAAAAAAGGATCTGTTTGTAATGTCAAAATAATAGCTTTTTACTAAATGCATATCAAAGTATATACTTAAATAACAAAATAAATTTTAAAATGTTTGTCTGTCTGTCTGTCTATCTATCTGTTTGTTCCGGTTAATCGCCAAAGCGGCTGGACCGATTTTGACCGGAATTTCACTGGCAGATAGTTGATGTTATAAAGATAAAACTTAGGTTACTTTTATTTTAGAAAAAGAACTAGGGTTCCGCGCAATAAATTAAAAATCATGAAATCTAATCGCAGTAAATTCCACGTGGACGAAGTCGCGAAAAACAGCTAGTTAGTAAATAAAATTGTAACGTGGTAATTTAAAAAAGGTTCGTCTGCGTGGTCTTGTTTTAGCACCACAAACAACAAGTTTGCACTGGTTACATTTTGACGTTCATAAGTTTTAAACGAGTTAAATTGAACAAGAAAGCTTTGGCGTTGACGTCATTAAGGTCTAAGAGGCGGGTGAGACTTTTATGGGCAATTGCTATTGGCTATAGTAATTGTCCATATATGTATATACTGACTATTTAAATATCTATATCAAGTAACACGAGGAATGTTGTCATTTAAATTTTTCATAAATCTTGTTTTAAGAAAAAAGAAGTCCTTTATATGTGGTAGAGGCCCAGAGGCTGCAGCATGAATGGGTCGGCTTTACATGGGGATTATAATTTTAAATTAAAAATTTTGTACAACCGACTTCAATATAAATTATTAAGAATAACTTAAAAACTATTCGTCAGACCTTGACCAATTATATATGAGGCCACAGGTGACGCACCAGCTTTCAAATAAAAAAAGAATCATCGAAATCGGTTCACCCAGTAAAAAGTTATGAGGTAACACACAGAAAAAAAACATACAGTTGAATTGAGTACCGGCTCCTTTTTGAAGTCGGTAGAAAAGGGCCACGTTCTCACAGAAAACATGTGTAATACTGCTGGTTTTGTTTATGGTAACCAGCCCTTTGTTTACTAGTAACTAGGCATTACATTTTAGTCCTCGTGGATGAAGAAGCATCTATATTTGTATGCTTATTCGATGAAGTATAGATATGAGATATAGGTTTACAGGCCACAGCATCGGCTTACCATCAGTTAAGTTCGATTATAATCTTTTAAGTGGTAGATGTATGTTGATATGTTGCAGTTATTTTATGTTTGTAGCACAAATAGGTCGGCTCGACCGAGGAAAGACACGCTCTCACAGAATACTTGAGTAAAACAGCAGCTGAATGGTGCTGTGTTTCGTATAGTTCGGAGGACCGGAGGCTCTTTTTACTGGAAACGAGGCATTCCATCGTAACCCTCTGGGGTGACAACGCATTTGCATTTGATTCTTAATCGAAGATAGACGTAGAACTCTATGAGTCACAGCATACAATTGCTTGAGCTCAACCCATCATTACTATCAGAAATAAAAATAATACATTAAAAATGCATACGTAGTGCCCTGTTGTAGTCTTTGATTGACATTGGTTTTGACTATGATATTTTTTTAAAACACGAAAAAAAACTGAGGAAATGTCAAATATTGCACATTGTATAAAACTAAATTTATGGATTTTCCTCATCATCGTCATACAGCCATTCACAAGTTTACTGCTGAACATAGACCTCCCCCAATGAATGCCAAAAAGAACGGTCCTTAATAACCTGTATCCATAGAATTCCTGCAGCTCTTATCAGGTCGTCACTCCATCTAATGGCCCTACTTTTCGCTTACCAATATTCGAGAACCTCTCTTCCCCATCGGTTGTCGGTTCTTCGAGCTGCCGTTGGGCTACGTCGATTACTCAAATTCTACTACGGATATCCTCATTTCTAAGTTTATCACGCAGAGACATCCCGAGTATAGCCCTCTCCATAGCTCGCTGAGCGACCTTGAGCTTCCTCATACGCCCAGCAATGAAGGACCACGTATACAGATCCATAAGTCACCACTGGCAACACGCACTGATTGTACAATTTTATTTTCAAGTTTTGAAGTATACGTGAAGAGAAGATGCGTCGTAATCTCTCTAACGCTGCCCAACCGAGTTGAATCCACTGATTGACCCTCTACGGATTTTATAGCGTTAAATTTAACTTATTTTCAATTCCCGACGTTCGAGTGCTTTACAGCACCCATGGTCACGGATGAACTGAGTTGTTTGACGACCTGATATCATAGTCTACCCGATATACCTTAAGCTTATGAATACTAAGTTTTGGTCGGATCTACGAAGAACTAGCGTTTACTATGTTTGAAGTCTTGCAAAGGGCCGAAGTTTGGGTTTGGATATATTTTATTGATCCTAATCCAATTCACCTTCATTTTTGAGATTAACATGTTTTTTTTATTTCATTAGCCTCACGAATCATCCTTCATATCAGAATCATCAGGGTTGTTGTGACTATTTGTGAATACATCAGATTTGATAAATAATCAAAAATAAAGTTAAAACTCCCTATATATTATAGATTGGAAAACTGAAAGAAAATTACAAAGCAATGACGTTTCATGTGGAGTCAAAGAAAATATTAAGCGATGGATTTGAAAAGTAGCCTAAGTTACTCCTTATAACATCAACTATCTGTCAGTGAGTCCCATTCAAATCGGTTCACAGGTTGCGTGATGCGTGTTCAGACAGACGTGTTAGTTTTATTATAGCATATAGATA